ATAAATAGTTTGAGTCTGTATTTCTCTTTAAAGTTGCACAATGCAAACATTTAACAGTGAAAATGATTTGCATTCTCCAATGACACAAGACAAACGAGAGTCAATAAGCTTCCTTGAAATGCCACCCACAGAGAATAAAAACATGCTTAAAACATGAGCTCCATTCCACTGACCACCAATATTACTTCCATAAAAGCAAGATTGGCTGCAGTAAATAGCCGCCTTCTGCCCTCCTTAAATCATGAATAGTACAGTTAGCAATATTCATGATTCAAGGATTTCATTTGTGCTAAGCTACACCCCAGGGGAAGAAAGCCGGATCTCCATGTCTTTAAGAAAGGCTGCAGAAAGGATCTCCCCAACCTTTTCCTCACCATTAGTCACCGCTGCGTGTCACAAATCGACTGCTTCTGTATGTCACTGTCATCGGCCAGGGCCAAGCTTAGAGAGGCCGCCCTGCAGAGGACCCCAGAGATAGGATCAGAGCGCCGCAGGAATACCACCAAGTCTGACACGCAACACACTCCTCCCTCAGGTCACGGGAATGTGGGGCCCATAACGTGTGTATTCATATGAAATGTATGAATATTGTTTACAGTCATTCATGGGAAATATTTTCTTTCTCTTTTAAAATTGGGGAGTGTAATTTCTGCATCCACACACAGCTTCCCATGGTGATTTAGGATGACACTCATATATACCACAGCAGCTATAGTCAAAGTGTCATATCACTGGTACTGGAGGTGCACATCACTTGGCGCAATGTACTGCTCAAGGATTCTCTTGTGCCTCAATGGAGTGATACAGAATTGCCCAAGTGAGAAAAATCATCTGACTCTCCTGAGGCCCTTTTTTTTCCTGGTTCTTATTCGTGTCCAGTTGTCTGATAAACACACACACACACACACACACACACACACACACACACACACACACACGCACAATCAGAATCTCCACCCTGGGGACCTGCTAGTGTAAGGAAACATAGTAAATGCCAGTATTTCCAGGAATTTCCTTTGAAATGTTTGATTGTTCGAGTCAAGCATGTAAAATCAATGGCTGATGCTGTGTGTCGGCTGGCGTATGGCGGCAGGGCCTTGGGGTGTGAACATTAACATGCAAACATTACATGCCCTCTGCCATAGCGTTCTGTATAATTACTGTATGTTCTCTGCCAAATGAATTTAGTTACTGTTTTAATGATGTAGCGAAGCAATAAAAGAGAAAGTGTCACTTTTAATATTCATCTGACAACATGCTGCCAATGGAGGTTTGTGCTTTTACATGCTTCTTCAATGTAAATGTGTTATTAAAGAAACAAGAAGAGAAAGTGATTGTGAATTAGGAACAAAGAGTCAAAATTTTACTCCAAAATTGCATCAAACAACAATTTACTTCAAAACAAAAAACATGTTGCATTGTTGTCGTACAATATTTAGCAGTGACACTGACAATAATTAATATTCATGAGACTGCGACTTTGCAGCCCCTCAGGATGGTTAAATTAATTATGCTAACAGGGTCATTTAACTGCTTTATTCAAAGCAAGCAGTTCTCCTGCAATAAATGACACAATAATTACGCACACAATCTAACAAGAGGACAGTGACAAGTGGAGGAGTGACACACTCATCTCCATAAAGTACAAAGAATACATTTGTACGCACGCACACACAACAAACAAAACAGAAAAATAAAGTAAAATGTGCACAGGCGAGATGAAAGAATAACAAAACCCACAATGGTTCTACATCCGCTGCAGCTTTTCCTCTCTGTGAGTAGTAAATTTGATTTGTTACCACGTGTTATTATTTAGCGTTATTCATCTTCTCTGTCAGTGCACACAGAGGGGTAATAGAAATGCCAGCGAGGTGGCTGATTTACTTAGTAAAATTTTCATCTCAAGGCTTGCAAGGCATGATTGGAGTCAGAGAGTAACGGGAAATCGTGCATTATGTGGGTGAATCTGACGTGACCTTGAGACTTCTCAGCAGAGACCATATATTACCGACGGAGCGACCTTGCCGTCCCAGAAGATGCATCTGATGTGTTTAAGGCTGTTTTACAATGCATTAGGAGGGCTTTACATGTGCTGAGCTCACTTTATTTGCTCATCCATTTCACAGGGAGAGAGCAGTGTCAGGCTGATGGGGAGCGTTCACAGTGACCGTGTCACTTGTCGAGACAAATGAGCCCATGAAAACAAGCAGAGGCGGCGGATGATAAGCATTTCAGAGCAAATTCCCACTTTTCCCTTTTATTTCCCCACCGATATGGAGCAAATTTGCTATTCAGTGAACCCTCGCTGATTCCAGCATCTATCCTCACCTGCCGCCATTGATTGACCTGCATCTTGAAGACAGAGAATGGACATAATTTTTCCCACCATGCCATGGGGCGTCAGGATCAATATTCTCACTGTTGGTTAAGCTTTCGCAACCTTTAGAATATCATCTCCCATTGATCCCTCTCACATAATTGTCTGCGTTTTCAAATCAAGTTTTCTTTTCGTTCGTACATGCCGTGACATTTGAAATTCCTCGCGGCCTCGCTGTATGACCCGTTGAAATACTCGAGGTAAAGGGCACAAAATGCAGATTAATTAGCATGTTACGTTTATTGTCCATCCCCCCCCCCCCCCCTTTCTGCTTTGCACTCCCGAACATGTGGAGAGTGTGGGGCCGTGTTGCATTTCCATATAAAAAGCCCCATAATTATAGAGAGGGGGGATGAAGACGGTTATTCCTCTTATCAGAAGAAATGATAAGGCAGAACCAGACCCTGTAAGAGAACAGAGTCCATTTTGATATAATTGGCAGTGGAATTATTTATGACATTAATTGCCACATTATCGACTGGCTGTCAGCTCCCGTGTCAGTCTGTCCATCTTTCTTAGCAGTAAGAGCCAGCTCAGCCTGGTGCCCACTGACAAGCTAATTACTACAGCACAACCCTGAATGACAAATGTTACTCATCTAAGACCGGGCCCGGAAATAAGGGCCACTCCCCACCCCCCTTTGGCTTCTCTGGATCCAGTGAGAAAGCCTCGTGCTGCCAAATGTCTTCAGGTGCAGAAGGGAGAGAGAGAAAGAGAGGGAGGGAGGGAGGGAGGGAGGGAGAGTTTTCAAGAGCCGGGTGGGGGAGTCAAATCTGAATCTCACCCCACCCTGTTTGCTGCTCTGCTATCAGTGGCCACTTGTCACTCATAAAGACAAGTAGCTTTTTCCCCTCCCTTCTTGTAAATTTGCATTAGCTCGTGCCAATCAGTCATCTGGGCTGAGGGCTGATGGGTAGTGACGGGGTGATTGGTCCTTCTCTCTTCTGACAGTGAGTCACACACAACTGGTGAATTGTGCTTTGCCACAATATAGAGCCCAGAGCTTATTGTAAATACATTTTAAGATTCCTGCAATCTGACATCATTGTGTCACTGTTACAGTATGAAATACAGTATGCAACATGCATTTCTATTTCTATATATTCTCTACAGTTAGTATACTTGATGTCAGATTTCATGTAGGCATTGCATTGTGTGACATTCTCGTCCAATTTAACAATAACATCTTTCAGGTTTTGTCACTTTTCCAATGCGAAACGGCAAAAATGATCTGCAGATACTGTGCACAGAGATCCAGCTGTGGTTCAGACAAGCTCCGAAACTGAAAATATGTAGGTTCAGAGTTATACTGTCTTTGAGTGCACACACACACACACACACACGGGGGCCAGCAGAGGAGCCTGCGGGTTACTATAGCAGAATGTCACTGATCTGCACTGATGAAGTGGCGTGCCATTTGTTCAGCCAGGAAGTTCCCAAGGAGCAGCAGTAGTGACAGAGATGAGGGTCAAGGAGGGCAGTGCCTACAGGTAGATCTGTGGATCATACCTTAATTAATCCACTGTCTGCTGTGCCAGGCATCCCATTCATCCCCTCACATGCACAAAGGCGCATGTCAAGCACATGTCAACCTGCTCTGGCACTCCACGCCCATCCCATAATGCAGTTTGTGTTGGCGCGGCAGCTCGGATGCGTCCCTGACGAGGATGGGAAGTGACACACACCAAACTCGGTGTGTCCCCCAGCCAGCTCCGGTGGCTCGGGGCCTGTCAATTCCAGCTCCGTCAGTGGCACTGGCTCAATGGCAGTGCCTGTGACACATGTCACAAAGTTTTAAATGTCTGCTCTTTTCAGCAGGATGGCTGAGCGCGCGCCGCAGCCAGGGGAAGGATGACATTTTGTGTCGTGTGGGGGGAGGAGGAGGGCGGGGGTGGATGTGTAGGGACATGCATTATGTAGATATAATGCATGTGGAGGAGATTCTATGTCGTAGATATGTCTTTTGGACATATCGGGGGGGGGACTTGTTGTGGTTCCTCTCTTCCTGCCTCCTCCGGCTGTCAGCCCCAGTTTCCTCTGAGCATATCAAAACACAGACAAATAAACCTTGTCATTTTGAAACGCTGGCACTAGTGACCAGGCTCCTGAATGGCATGTCAGCTGGAATATGGTCACATAGTCCTGTAGGAAGTGATGTATGAGCACATGCGAGCAAGCACACACACTCCCACGTGCACATGAGTCTTGTAAAGTAAAGTACTGCAAATGTTTAAGCTAATAGAAATAAGAAATAAACAGAGACAGACACAGTGAACAATTATCGCATGGGGCTATTCCTGACCTATGCTTCATCTGCGTGTGGATGATTGATGCACTTGACTGAAGCTCATCATCTTTCAAAATACAAATACAGCAAGTCTCTCATTTTTATCATCACCAAGGTTTATTTAGGGAGTAAAGATAATTTAAAAGATGACACTACATGATCTGACTTGAGATTTGTCGATCAGGGACGTTTTCTCACCCTCTCATAACGATGAGTAACACAGAGCTATTAAAATATTGATTGGCTCTAAACGTTTTGTGCAGGAAAAAAAATATTAATGTGAATTACTTGATCATTCACAATCAGCGTGTTGTAGTGGCAGACAGGAGACACATGATAAGTTAACCTCTTTTATTACTTGAAGCCAGCTTATACAGTTTTACATCAAATCAGCCCAATTACATCATTCATTCATTTCCGATTCTCAGTTTGGACGGTTGCCTGGAGAACTATAAAATCAGATTTTAAAAATGGCAGCACTTTTCCTTCTGCTGTTGTCACAAATCACTGTTAACACAGTTCACTGTGTAACCATGATGGCCTTAAAAGTACTATAAAACGTAAACAATGAACAAATTTAGGTTATAACTTTGTGGTCGATACTGCATCAAATGCAATTCTCTGAAGATGTATGTGTTATAGTTTGTTAACAAGTCATCACAATAGAATGCAGATTCAGTCCGAAGCAGTTGACTAGCTGAAGACACACACACACAAAAACATAAAGATAAACCTGGAATGCACAAAGGGTTACACCCTTGGTCCGTTCTTCATTAAAGCTCATATTGGAATGTTTTGACTTTAGAAGCTGCAGCTGACACATCTCCTCCTGAAAATAAGTTCATTAATAACAGAAAACTGACCTAATCCGTGCCTGAATATCACATGTATAACACATAACAAGTTTCTCTTTCTCCTGCTAAATAAAATAAGAAGCTCTGCACTCTGACACAAACCAGACTGATCATGTCTCAAAACCTTGTTCTGTTGATGTCCTTATGTTTTAAACAGCTGTTATGTGAGTGTGTGTGTAAGTAAGTAAAGGATACAAATGGAGAGAAAGAGATAGAGGGAGGGAGGAAGAGAGAGAGAAAAATGGAGAGAGAGAGAGAGAAGAGACAGAGAGATGAGTCCATGTCAGGCCCCAGGTGTGTGACCGTCACCCCTTTCACCCTTGATTAGTGGCGGCAGTGGCTGGGTGATCCATCATGGCTGTCAAAGAAAAGGATGCAATTGAACAGATCTGTGTGTGAGAGAGTGAGGGTGAGGGTGAGGAAGAGGGTGAGGGAGAGGGGGGGATAGAGAGAGAGAGAGAGAGGGAGAGGGGGAGAGAGAGAGACTGTCCTTTTGCATGTGTTTGTCTGTAGTTGTGCAGTTGCTGATGCTTAGAGGCAATCATGTCAGTGGGAGTGTCATGTGTGACTCTGTGCTGGAAGCAGACTGAGCTCAGAGGAGGCCATAATAATGCTGGGGTACGATCTTAAGATCTTAAAAAAAACATTCACCTTGCACAACCACAATAACATATTTTGCAAAAGTTTAAATGATTCTCCAGCGGGAAGCCAGCTGACTCAAATGTTAGCAGTGCATTTAATAAATAAAGGATTTGTTTGATCATCTTTGCTTCCATTGACATCCGTCGTCATCTGTGTTTCTTTTTGTGCCCGACCAGCTTTTTTCCATCAGAGTTGGTCATTGCGGATGAATCTGTTGCCTTCTGAGTGTTTGCCATAGTAGATGTAGCGACACTTAGCGAATACCCCTAAAAGAGGAATGTGAGAAAGTGAGGGTTAAATATGTTGCTTTATAAATAAATGAGAAAACATTTATAATCAAAAATGTATATATATACAAATACAAAAATGGCAGAACCTTCTTGATAAGAGAGTTTTTTTTTTACTCTTTCTCAAGATGTCAATCGTCACAACCTCCTCCATGTTTATCATTATCGGAAACTTTCAACTCTACACTGCCCTCTAGTGGATGTATTGCTGAACAGACATGCCAGCGGTTTTCGTGCACATAGCATCGATATGCTATGATTGACAATTTATGACAACATTTACATTGTGTCTCTCTATATTTCAGTGAAAGAAAGAAACATGGCATTCACTTTTTTTTGTTGGTCATAAACATTGAAACCAGGTCCACATGTATAATTGCTGTGTTTGAGTTATAGAAGAGCAGGAGTGGTTTGTGACCTGTGGAACAAGACCCAAAGGGTCACATGAACCGGAACCCTTAAAAAATGCATCTAAGAAAGTGTACGGATCGCGTCTCTGACAACAGACACATCTCGAATCAGACGGTCGGAGAAGGCGACCGTGAACGGATGTTAACACAGAATGAGTCAAAAAACAACATTTTATGAGGTAGTAAACACAGCGTTCACTGTATTCATTAGACCTTAAGGACACAGAAGATGAGGTTTTAGTGTGAGAGGCTGAATGTAAACAAAACCTTGTATGTTTACTTTAATGCAAAAATCTCCACAGGGAAGCTTTAAATGGCAGGAGTGGTCTGGCTCTGCTCCTTGTACGGGTTGAGAGGTGTTGCTGGGAAGGATGAACATCTTGTTCCACAGAAAGACCACTGTGGCCTCGGGGCAAAGTCCTGACAGTAACAAGCTCACAGCCACCCACACACACACACACACACACACACACACACACACACACACAC